GACTACATCCACAAAGCAGTGCAAATTGAAATCCATTATACAAATGAAAGTTATATAATAGATTTTGGGATATAGAGTTTCCTCTTTAACTCTCGACAAAACCCAGTTGAACAAATCCTTTTAGATCTGTTCTCCCGACAAGCACCACTGCCAATCTTTGATCTCTATTCCACTGCTAAATAACTGTCCAAGAAGAGACACATTTATATTCTACAACTAAACCGTTGTCCAAAAAATGCCCTTGAGAGAAATGGAGATTTTCTCTCACTAAAACCACTCAAAAAGATAAACCACTCAAAATCTCTCTCACTAAAAATGGAAACCACCCAAAATCTCTATGGGAACCGTGTCTCTACAAGACACCAGCCTCTCACTCTACATGAGGCACAACGTAGTATTTCATTCCATAGAAAGCACTCTTCTCTCTAAGTCTTTCTCTCTATATGAAGCTCTCTTCTCTCTACAAGGAGGTCTTGCCTCTCAAGCACAGGAAGCTCGTGCATCTCTCTCTAAAGGAGACTACATTTCTCATATGGTGATCTAAATAGGGTACACTTATTTTTTCTACTTTCGTTATATTTATATAAGATTAAAAATTCATATTAAATAGGAAATTTCTCATAGATGTTATATATATCTCGAAAACCAAAATATATATCCAAGAATTCTATATATTTTTATTTTTTAAAAAAAATTTATCAATATTGATCTCAATCTCATAAAATATGAGATTTTCTTACTAGGGTAATTTTATGAGTATTTGCACCAAATAATGACATTGGCTGAATCTCCCCTACGATCACTTTCGTACTACAGGGACGCCATTTCATGATACCAAACTTGAGTGCCCATAGCTCAACCTCATTTAGGCTGCAAGGATGTAAACGACCCTGGTAGATCTGGAATGTAGAGCCATTACAGTCTCTTAGCAATACACCATACCCTACTATCTCACCACCCTTCCTCACACTACCCTCGAAACTCAGTTTGACCCAAGAGTCAGGTCGGGAGCTCCGAAGTGAAGGCCAGACCATCATACTCCATGGCCCTTCTCTCAGCAGGTGAGTTGTTGGCTCCATATTTTAATATTTAAGATGGTCCACAGTTTAATGGACACAATTTCTATAAATTTCCCGGACTCATTAACGCTATTTGAATGTGTACTTTAATTTAGGTTGTTTAGGGTCTCAACATTATATATTTATCCAAAGATGGATATAAGTGACGGTCCCTTTAAGAAAAAGTTAAAATAAATTGCTCAAATTAGTTTTTTTAAAAAAATTTAATTCTAATTTTTAGTTTTATTACTATTAATAATTATATACCTATATTA